AAAAAAAAAAAAAAAACACTTAAAGACAATTACTTGATTTGCACAATGGCACAACTAAAATTTATAGGCAGCTTTAGTTTCCAGAAAACTTACACATTCTTTCTGTCCTCACAGTACAGTACCACGATTTCAAATCCCTTTTTTTATTTTTACACATTTAGAAACGACACTCAGAAAAGCTGTAGGCCTTCAAGGTCAGCAGGGTGGGCCCTTTCCCTAGTTTAGGCCAAATGGGGACAAAGGCTGGGTTTCTAGCCAAGCACTGTGTGTCAAGACAGTTGGATTCAAGGGCTCTGTCCACCTCTTTGCGGGCTCTAGAACCACTGAACCCATCCTAACAGTCCACTCAGGGAAACTCCCGATGCCATCACCCAGATGAGGAGCCTACAGCTCCCACAGGTGAAGGTGAGATTAAGACCAACCAGAACATCACATCCGCACCGTCCCTACTCACCCCATTAAAACATTCAAAAAGGGTGAGGAAATGGGGGTGCGGAAAATTGCCGAACTGATTAAGCTCTGTACACAAGCAAAAAGAAAAACCAATCCCAGAGGATCCAGTAATACGTGCCGCGCAGTGCACACCACCAACTAAAACACCTAAAAATCTCAATTTTTGTCCCACAGGTGTGTGTTCACTTAAGGACCGGAATCCCCTTAAGGGCCATTTTAATAAGCGGGTCAAGTGATGAACTCCATCTTTTATCCCTGGATTAGTTATCCAGCTGCGTGGTTTTCCACGAGAATCTGCAGCCCATTTGAAACACTAAGATCCTTCGGTGAAAAAAAAGTGTCATCTTAACGTCTTCATTGTGTCATACTCAACATTCCCGCCCCCCCACCCCCCACTGCCTCTTTTCTAGGAACGACTGGTTGTAAACTTTTTATAAAATCGGCAAGAGTCATTTGCTACCCGGAAGCCACCACTTGGGACCTTCGCAGGACTCTCTCCCTTCGCCCCCTCCCATCTAGAGTTCCGCCCTTCTCCTTCCAGGTTAAACCAGGGACTCAGGCGGCGCATCAGCAGAGAAAAACATCCAGAAGTCGGATCAAGCTACATGTGACTATACAAACCAGAAACGGTTGCAGATGCAATAGGAGGTGGGTTTTTGTTTCTTTGGGGGTTCCGCTCCACATCATCACCGACTTCGGGGTATTAAAAAAAAAAAACCACCTCCGACTCTAACTTTGTGGAATTTCCAATGCAGTTGGCTCGGAGAACGCCAGGCCGTGCAGCGAGTTGGGGCGAGGCCTGACCGCGCGCTCCGGCAACACACGTGAACTCCAGGCCCTACCCCAGCGCGGGCGGGCCTCTAGCGACCCCAAATTGTCATATACCAGGCGGTCACCGACACCCGAAGGCGCACCCCCACGCCATTCCGAGCACCACCGCCCCCCACCCCCCGTAGGGATGGTCCCCCCGGGAAGCACAGCCCAGGACACCGATCTGGGGGCACCCCTCCCCCGAGCCCCAGGAGCCCAGGAGCAACAGGTCTGCACCCTCTCCAGGCCGCACTCTGCAGACCACGCCTCACCAGGGGTGCCCCCCCTACACAGACACACACACACAGATGTCGCCCTCAGCCAGGTCCCCTCGCTCGGGCCGGGGAGCTCCGGACTTGCTTGACAGTTTCTGCGTCTCGGAAACTGAGCAGCCACCGGGCCCGCGCCGCCTCGCCCGCCACTCACTCTACTGCGCGCCGCCGCGCTTCCAGCCGGTCCCGGGCGGGCTGGCCGGCGCCCGGGGATGAATGGGGCGCCCCTCCCCCACGGGGGGGGAATCCCGCGGCGGCGCAGGTTCGCCCGGCCAGCCCCAGAATCAGCAGACAAAGGGACACCGGGGGACAGACCGAGCGTTTCCCCAAACTTACCAGCCGCCTCCCCCTCCCCAGGACAAAGCCCCCCCCCAACCTCCGCCCGCCCCCGAAGCGCCGGCACTTTGGGGAGCGGCCACCTCGGGGTATTGTTCAGCCTGCAGGGAGCGCGCCGCACCCCAGCCCGAGCCCCGGGGACAGTTGGGGACCTGCCCCTCCAGAGCCCCGGCGGCGGGCGGAGCGTGCGGGCGCCCCGAGCCGCCCGCCAGCACCCCCCCACCCCCGCCGGAGAAGTTTGCGCCCCCTGCCCCGCGCCCGGCCGGCTGAGCCCCGCGCACTCACCTCGCCGCCAGCAGCGCAACTTGTGGCGGCGCCGCCGCGCGCCGAACCTCCCTGTCGCCGGCCGTCGCCGAGACCGGGCCGTGCCGCGGCCGACGAGGGCCCGGCGCCCTGGAGCAGCCGCGCGCCGCCCCCGGGCCGCCCCCGCCCCGCCGCCGCGAGTCCCGGAGAGGCGCGGGCGCTGGAAAGTTTCGGGTGCCGAATGGCGGCCGAGGGCGCTGCGGCGGCGGCGGGGCGGGGGCGCTGGCGGCTCCTCGCTCCCGAG